GTGGGGTGGGGTGGGGATATAAGGGTTGGTATGAGTACTTGTTTGCAAGTTATTAATTGTTTGGTGCTTCTGTGATATCCCATCTATATCTTGTTTTCCAAACTCTATGATGGCTGAATTTTGCTGTACCTTGTTGCCAGGCTAGAATATTTTAGAAGGTTTTCTCCTTGAGTCCCCTTCTTGGCATTCTATGCATAATCTCCATGTGTGTTGTGACAATCTCATCTAAAAGCTTTAGTTGTTAGAGAGAGCACATTTTTATTATTTGATTGTATTCTCAACAATGTGAAGTTTTCTTCTATTATTCGATGTCATCCGAATAACTCTGAGTGAGAAAGGGGGAAAAGAGGGTGAATAATGTGGGTTAGAGAGTTTTAATAGAAGAACGGCACCATAGAAGTATCTTGTTTACTGATTAGTCAAAGATTAAAAGAGGTTCACTCGTAGACATCAACCCTTCATCTGTTAGGATTAGGGAGAAGGAATTATTCGGTTTTTCCCAGAATAGTGAACATGTTGATGTGTAGTTGATAGCTTTTTTAGGATGATAACTCATTATCGGTTCGTAGCTTGCTCATGTAGCCAACACTTTTCTTGGTGGAATATATTTTGCATTTTCTAGTTATGTGGTATTATTCTATATGTTTAAACGTAGTATCAAACATAATGTTTGTTGAGGTAAAGATATCCATATAGTTGCGAAGCAAAAAACAATTGGCAGAAAATTGGACAAATAGGGAGATAGGCGAGATTACCTTCTCGATTAGTGAAATATATGTATAATAATGCTCGGTTGTTTGTTGGAAATCCAGTAGCTTGTCTCCAACATACAGTTGTTAGTTGGAGCAACCTATTGGTGTTAAACTGCTTGAACTCTTCTTGTAGTTTCATCCTTTATCATACTCCTGGAGCATTCAATGTCTTTTGCTAGAATAACTCCAACCATGTTATCTAATGAAATCTTCAGAAGGTGAACTTGATGAAATCCAAGATGACACCAAAACATCAGAGAAAGCCAGTGCACTGCATTCGGCCCTCTCGCAGCTTGAAGGCGATTTTTGCAAAGAATCAAGGTTGTCCTTGCAGCGCTTCTTTGGTGCTAGACGTACTCCTGTAATACCTACGGGCTCATTGAGGCTTGATCTAGCACTTGGGCTTGGAGGACTACCCAAGGTGATTTTATATAAAGTGATTACGTTTTTATTCCAAACGTAGATTTGTCATTGACGCCAGTTGTAAAAATGTGGTCATCATGTGGTTCTGATGTGCTGTTGTCTAAATTTTGAAATCGCAAACAAGTAATGGCTGATTTTCTGTATGTGCAAAAAGGCCATGGATGTAGATCTCTTGAAATAAGTTTGTTGATTAGGGTTTGCATTTTCCCCTTATTAGAAGTTGGGTTCATTTTCTTTTGAGGGGAAAAGGGAAGGAGGAGGATTAGGAAAGTATAGTCTTTACTTATCTTAACTTATACCTGTATTTGATTTGTAAATCAGCTGCTGTTCTCAACCGACTTGTTTAAGGTTTGCATCCAATTTAAAAGTGTTCTTTTAAAGGTTTAAGATTGCATAATTTCTGAGTATAATTACGTGCCTAGCATGTTCCTTCTTTTCTTCTGTGAGGCTTCACTAAATGGATATATGTCATTGAATAATAGCTGATCCTATGCTTTATCAAAGTGCCATTTGTAGCATTGTTCCTCCTCCTTTGGGAAAGGGTGGAAGTCTTCAGGTGCCATGGTAGTTCATGAGATGTTTGGTAATAAAATTTATGATTTTAGTGCTTGTTGCTTCTCTGAATCAGAGTACTTCTTTATGTGTTTTGAGTTTGTATTAATCTGTATAATGATTTTAGTGTCCAGTGCTTCTCTGAATCAAATTACTGATACTATTCTCGTCTTAAGAATATTGCTGGTATTAACAATTGCAGTTCATTTGAATTTCCTTCTAAAGGGAAGAATTGTTGAAATCTACGGACAAGAAGCATCTGGGAAGACAACACTTGCCCTTCATGTAATTAGAGAGGCTCAAAAGCTTGGAGGTGAAAAATATACTGAGCTCTTACTATAAACGTGATGTTTTTCTAGATTATTTATATATTGTATGCTTTTGTTTATTTTAAAGAGCACCTATTGATATAATGAACGAAAAGTTTATCCTTGCCAGTTGAATACTCTCCTAACTTTTTGTCTTTTGCATAATTGTCGTGGCTGTAATTTTTTTGTGCTTATATAGTGAGCATATTGGATTGGCGTAGAAATGGATTAAGTGCTTCTAAGTTTGTTTTAAATCTTGGGAAACTCTCAAAAGAAGATTTATGCTGATCTTGTTCTTTAATTGTGACTAGAAAACAATGAGTTCTTTTTTAATCTAGTTTGACACAAAAAAGTGATTGTTAATCTTAGTGTTGGCAAAGGCACACTTTTAAGCCTTGAAACTAGATGCACCATAGGATGATCAGGAAAAAAGACTTTAGACAGTCATGATACTAAACATCTTTATCTTCAGATGTACTCATGGGCGTTGTACAGTCCATTATTTTTTCCAATTAGACTACTGTAAAAAAATAAATTAAAAGTGAACAAGAAAGTGATTCTAGCTTTTGAAGGTAAAGATGATTTACCTTTTGGAAGGAAATATTTCAATGTTTATCATGAGATAATGATATCCAGAATTGTCAGTGTGAAATCTTTATAGCCATTTCAGTATTTCCTTCCTCTATAATTTTCAAATTTGTTTTTTCTCATCCTATTTCTTTTGTACTGATAGGTTATTGTGCATATCTGGATGTCGAAAATGGAATGAACCCCTCTCTTGCAGAAGCAATAGGGGTAAATGTAGAAAATCTCCTTATTTCGCAGCCAGATTCTGCTGAGAATTTGCTGAGTATTGTCAATACCCTGACAAAAAGTGGATCCATGGATGTAATCGTGGTTGATAGTGTAAGTGCTTCCCTTTATAATTCAAGGCTGATTCTTTTGCTCCAATTTTCCTAGTATATCTCAACAATTCCTCTTTTGTAATTCAAGGCTGATCATCTCTCCCTTATATAAATGATCAACCATCTTTGCTTCTGAAGGTTTTTAATTTCTTTTCTTTTAACAGGTAGCAGC